ATTTTACAATCAAACCTGGTAGAGTATAGTATCTTTTAGGGTAATTAGAAACATTTCTGTTTGACCAAAATAATAGCAGTCAACCAGAATTATTACTGATGTGATTGCAATGGCATAGGACACAAGCTTGTAATTGTAGTGCACTGAAATACAGGTCAGTTTTCTTTTTAGAAGAGTCCTTTTGCCTTTCCTCCTTATGATTAACCTACAAGAAACATTTTTGTTTTTGCTAAGTAGAAGTTCAAATCTAATATTTTAGAGTAACTTCAATGTTAGTTTCACTATTAAAGTGGCAGTAACATAGACTCAACCTTGAGTCTTTTATTTTCTGAATGTCAGTTTTAATAAATATAATCTAATTACATGTCTTCCATTTTAAGAGAGCCTTATTCTGAACTTCTAAGGTGCTCTGTTAACCTGTTTTTGGAGTACAGCCCTGCATGATTAAATTTTTAGTACTTGTATTTGGCACAGTGTAATTTTGGGCAGCATTAAGAAACTGTAAGTTCAACTTTCTGAATGCAAAGAAAACAAAGAGCAGCAATTAGCTCTGTCTTTTAACATTTCTTTTGATGACTGTATTCTGATTTAAATCCATATGTTATTTTTCTGGTTGCTTTGTTTTCTAATGATCAGTGAGTGCTTTTTAAAAATAATTTTTTTCTCTCTCTTCCCTTCCCCTCCTACTGTGATGGAAGGCATTTGATTAGGACAGTATTATACTGTTCTCTGCTTCTCTCCCTAAGGACAAAACAAGAGTGCTATGTCAGCACATGAAACTGAACGGATGCTGAATAGAATAAACTAGGAGGGACTGCAGCTTAATTTTGGGGTATAGATGATTAGAGCCTTAAGGGACCCTAGATACCATCTCACTTGTCTACTTCTTCCCCTGGTGAATTTCACAGGGACTAGAGCAGGGTGGCTTTAGAATGAGAGAGCTCCAGGGATAGGGCTGGGATTTCAGTGACCTTGTTCTGCACAATATGGATGATAATAGCTTATATTTATTCATTGTTTTAGATTATTTGTACATTGGATATTGAAGGAGTAAAGAACTTCTCATATGTGTTGATGTACAAACTGATATGTCATCTTGATGTATAAACTAATATGTAGTACTTCAGATGTTTCCCTCCTATCCGGGCCCATAGTACTTTGGGTTTTGTGTTTACAGTGTTCAGCAAAACACGAATTGGTTAAATATTTTCCCCCAACTTTGTAAAGAAACATGTCTTTAAAAATAATTTAAAGACATAATTTAAAATATTTTCCTTTTAATTTTTTCCCTTGAGAGTATAGATTTGAGTTCAAATCTGGGTTCTTCCCCTTACTCTAATTAAACTAACCTCTCTGAGCCTTGATTTCTTCATCTGTAAAATGATTATCATAATCATTTATTCCTCAAGAGTTATCAGGATTAACATTATCGTGACATTGAGTATAAAGTGCTCATCACAATGCCTGTCAAAGGGGATAGAGTACTTGGTAAATGTTTCCTGTTAATATGATCTCACAGAAACTAAGATGGAGCTATTGTGGTAATTTAAAACTCTTTAAGGGAGAACTCTTGTTTGTTTGAAGAGACAGTGTCTTGCTATGTTGCCCAAGCTGGCCTTCAACTCCTGGGCTCAAGAGATCCTCCTGCCTTAGCCTCTTGAGTAGCTGGGACTATAGCCTGTGCCACTGCTGCCAGCATTGAGGGAAAACTCTTAGGAGAGAAGTGTTCTTTCTTAGAGAACTCTAAGTTATAAAACTTCACCATACAATAAACACATTGAATCTTTGCACATACCTTTACTCAAAGAACTTCAGTTTACTTTGTTATTGACCTGCAAATTTCAAGGACTTTAAAAATTCTCTTTACTGTATGAAATGCTTGAATGTGTTACTATACTTTTGTAGGTGAGTTTATATTTATTTTTTCGAACTAAGGAAGATATTTGGCTTAGAAAGCTAAGGTGATATGAGTGCTAGTTGGAAAATAATGCAGTATGAATGCCTTGCTTGATGTCAAGCCTGGTAAGCAGTCAAAGCTTGTCACTTTTCACTTAAAATACAGTTATTTACTTCTAGATTATCCGAGAAATAGGAATACAGAATTCGGAGGGATTTTTTTAGTGAATGGAAGTCTTAAGAGATTCCATCTGGAAATTGCTTATTGTCTTTTGTTAGAGCTTTGGCCTTGAAGTATTACATTTTACTTGTATGAAATGTATTTATCATCATCATTATTTGAGTAGGTTGATAACAAAGCTGTGCATATACTTCTTAATTGACCCAACTGTAAATTTGGCTGAAGTTATGATTTGAGCAGCACATAGAATTGAATAGAAATCCTTGTCATCATTTTAAAATAATAAAAATTAGATGTTTTTATACCTCTGGAAGTTAAAAAATCACATCAGGCACCATATGTGGTTCCTGAGTGCTTGATCTCTTATCTTTCGTACTTAAAAAGCTATGCTGGCTGCTTGGCTGAACAGGAGTTATTAAACTGGCATTTGGCCTGAAATGTTCCTTAGGGAATCACTGAGTGATTTTAATTATTCCTACTTGTGCCTGCAACACTGCATTCTGTAGAATGAGTTAAGGAGTGACTGTTTAGCAAATGTGTATTGAGTGTATATTATATACCAACAAATCAACTTGTAGGAGTAGGTTGTTAGCTTGAGTTATGTTGGACAGCCTTGACAATGAGAGGGACTTAGATCTGCTAACCAATCATGCAGTCTGAGAGACAAGTGTGACTTACTCTCTTATTTTTTTCACTAATAGAGCCAAGCCTGGTGCTTTTTGGTGTCAGATTTCATGTGGTTGTTGAACTTGAGTCTTTCTGTGCATCCTTTTTAGCAATGATTGGTGTGTTCATTGTGATTTAATATTCTTTTCAAAATTTGTACTTCTCACGGGCTTAACTTTTCAAAATTTGTACTTAACTTCTACTGTGCCAGTTCTTTTGTGGTAAAGCAGGATGAAATTTCTTTATCGTTTCTGAATGCTTGGTGATATTGTGGCCTAGAAAAGAAATTGCTAAACTTTTTTTTTTGAGACTCCAAATGCTTTCATGCTTTGCAGTTAACTGCTGGGTTTTTCCTGAGAAACTTGGGCTCAGTTAAGCAAATTGTATTGAGTACATATTATGTGCAAGCTCTTTGTGAATCATCATCCTCAAGAAGTATAGAGTCCAGTAGGGGCCTGCCTGCTGGAGACAAAAAATGATGGCATAATGTAACCAACACATGCAATGCAAGAGGCATGCATAAGGCATAGATACTTTATAGTATCTATGTTAAGAATACGTAGTGTAATAAGCATAAGAATACTTATTCAGGGTGAGGCAAGGGAGTGGGTTTTATGGAGAAGATTAAATTGAGGATGCTTCAGATGGACACAGATGGGCTTTTTAGAAATTAGGTTTTCATTGTTGGAGGATATTCCAGGAAGAGGGAATGTTACAGAGGTGTGAAATGGCATGTAGTGGATAGTTTGGCATTGCTGGAATACGCACTGCAGTACTGGAGGGAGATAAGGGCAGAAAGGGATGCAGGACCTGTATCTCCAGGAGTCTGGCATGCTGTACTTTGGAGCATGAAATTTTTCTGGTATATATTAATCAACTTAAAGTAATTGAAAAGATCTAAGCCAGGAGAGTGAAAGGATGGAGTTTAGTTAGTGCTCTCTGATTGCAATCTGGAGTTTGGATTGCAGAGGAGTAAAATTGGAAGTACAAGTACTAACTAGTTAGGAAGGTTTAAAGGAGTCCAGGAGTCAGTTTTGTTTTTTTTTTTTTTTGAGACACAGTCTCACTTTGTTACCCAGGCTGGAGTGCCATGGTGCAACCTCAGCTCACTGCAGTCTCTTCCTCCCTGTTCAAGCAATTCTCCTGCCTTAGCCTCCTTGGTAGCTGGTACCACAGGCATGTGCCACCATGCTGGACTAATTTTTGTATTTTTAGTAGAGATGGGGGTTTCACCATGTTGACCAGGCTGGTCTTGAACTCCTGACCTCAGGTGATCTGCCTGCCTTGACCTCCCAAAGTGCTGGAATTACAGGTGTGAGCCACCACACCCAGCCCAGGAGTGAGTTTTAATTTAGTAAACTTGTTTAGCAGAACTGTGGTGATGAGCTAAAGAGCACGACAGTGGTGGAACTGTGGGGAACATGTCATTTGAAAGGTATTTTGAGGAAGCAGACACTGGGAAAAATAGAAAAAGAAGTTGGTTAAAAATAAGGTATTATAGGAACTGAGGAAATAAAGAATTTCATGAAGCAGTAGGTATCAGGAATGTCCAAGACCAGAAGTCACATAAGATACTGACTGGCTTTGGGAATTTGGAGCAGTCTGGGATAGAGGGACACTTAGCTGTAGCAGTTTGGGATAGAGGAACATTTCCATTGGAATGATAATTTGCATTCTGCCTTGGCTACTTATTTATTCTGTGACTTAGGAAAACCCTTTTACCTTTGACTCATTGTCTGTAAAGAGGAGGTTGGCCTCTTTAATGGGGTTTGGTCTATGATCTTCGAAGCTCCAGGGGTTCATAAAAGGTACCTTGAGGCCCATCAAGAAATCAAAGATAAGACCAGATATTTGTTGGAAAGGGAGGGATACAAGTCTTCTACCCCTGCTTCAAACAAAGGAGCGAGAGCAGCTGGATTTTTATGTTTTGTATATTTGACTCTAATGTAAGATTTCATTGAAAGAAACATAGTGCAGTATAAGAAATTTGATAACTACTGGCCTATAGGAGCCTTAATTACTTTCAAGCTTTAAAAGCTATATTATTAATAGATGGTGTTGAAAGGTCCTATACAAGATGAATATCGTGATAGATGTTAACTTGTTCATGATTTGGATTTTATTCAGAGGTCCACATTAATTTCTGAGTTTATATAATGGTAACTGCTCTTATTAGGAATGAAAATGTAACTTCTAAACAACTGTATTGTACTGTGTATTTTGTTAAAAAAAAATAACTTTTTATGTGTCTTACCAGGTTCTGACTCAGAAGATCTTTTGGAAGAATTGCTGTGCTGTTTGATGCAGCTAATTACTGATATTCCACTCTTGTAAGTTCTGGCTAGGCCAGGAGTTGTTTTACCTTCTTTGTAGGTGGCAGATAAGCATTGGTCATGTTGAGGAGTTTGTGGGTCCTGGTGTAGTACTTACATGTGTGCCTTTTAAGGATTCTATATCCACGGAGTTCTTTTCTCTCTGCCTAATATTTAGACAGAATATTCATTGTCAAAACAAAAATGTTATGTTGTTAAGGAGAAAACAGTGAAACTATATTAAGAATATGGTAGGCACAGAATTAGTCTCTGTAATAAGAGATCTTATAGATCTTTGGAAACAAGAGTTTAAGCGAGAAGCAATTTGAATTCACTTCATACTGTAGTAGACACAGTGAGTTGAGGTCTCCTTATCTTCCTGACTTCTTGATTGCATTTCCAGCCTCTTTTGGTGAGGCCACAGTTTTCATTTCCAGCCTTCTTTGAAGCAAGGCATAGTCAGTGAAATGTAGAGGAAGGTCCTTTAATGAGACCTCTGGGTAAAGCTCTCTAAAAGGAGCTGACTCAGTCAGCTAGGAGGCATATCTTTTTGATCTTGACAGCCCTTTTTCCTGCTGTCTGGAATGTGGACAGTCTTTTGAGTTGCATAGCCTTCTTGGCACCATGAACCAAGAGATTCACAGAAAATTCTGCTTTGATGTCATTGAGCTGCTGAACCAAAGTCAGCAACTACCAGTATCTCCCTTTTCACCCTGAACTTCTCATGTGACATAAATAGACCCTTATTTGTTTACACTGCTGTAACTGGGCTTCTGTCACTGCAGCTCAATGCAATTCCTATATGATTTGAAATGTTCATCTCATTTGTTACTTTTTAAAATTTAAAGTAGAGACAGGTCATTGCTGTGTAAGCCAGGTTGGTCTCAAACTTTCAGCCTCAAGTGATCCTCCCACCTCAGCCTCCAAAAGTGCTGGGATTATAGGTGTGAGCCACTGTGCCTGGCCTCATTTGTTATTTTAAAGCAGTGATTCTCAACCTTTAAAAAAAATTATTGGCCAGGTGCAGTGTCTCATGCCTGTAATCCCAGCACTTTGGGAGCCCAAGGCAGGTGTATGTCTTGGATACAGGAATTGGAGACCAGCCTGGGCAATATAGTGAGACCCTGTCTCTACTTAAAAAAAAAAAAAAAAATATATATATATATATATATATATATATATATATATATTGTCTCCCTGAGAACCCTTGTTTGGCATTTCTTTCATCATTGCCTCTCCACCTTGATGAAATTTGAATCCCCAAACATACTATCTGCTTATATCCTGCAGCCCTTTGGAGGACCAGAAACCGTTATTATTGTATCTAGGAAGATATTTACTTACCTCTGTAGAACCAGTTTACATCTCTTGTTGAAAATGCATATATACTAGGAATTATTTTTGAAATAAAGAAGTATATTTTAATGTTACTCATCACAGAATCTCAGTCTACATGGGGATATAATTGGAAATGTGCTATTTGTTTCTGTCCCCAAAAGGAAAGACAGGTATTTGTGAGAAAATGGGTTCCAAGCTGCTGTTGTACATGAATGCAGCATCTAGATTTTTAATATAGATTTAGAGGTGAGATCCACCAACCCCTGTCGTGAGTTGGTCTGGTGGTATGCAGCCAGGAAGGTAGGGCTGAGACAACTGAAGAGTCATCTCCTACGAAAGGAAATGGGACAATTTCCCATTTGACTGGAGCTCCCGCAGCCATGCATGCACGCCATGCTTTCTCCCCTTTCGTTATAACAGAGCTCCAATATTGTTTAGAGTGGCGTTGGCATTGTGTGCCCCAATTAGTTTTTCAGACACTTTGGCGGCTCCGTGTGACCATGTGACATAGTTTGGGCTAACTATATGTGAGCAGAAATCATGAACTTGCAGAGCATATCTACTCCAGGCTTTTGCTTATTGCCCTCCCTTCCTTCCTGGAATGTGGAGGCAATGCTTGGGCTGTCCTGAAACTATGTTAATGAGCATTGCATGCAAAGAATAGTGTCCTGGGAGCATGGGATATTGGTGACATTATGAAACTATTACATTGGCCCTGGATCCCATATCTTCGGGTTTCTCCTTCATGAGAAAAATAGACACCTGTCTTGCTTAGGCCACTATGGTTAGGTTTCTTTTGATATGGTCTGATCAGGGAAGGTAAATACATATACTGTGTACTGTTTCTTTGTCATGGTATGAAGAGTGCTTCATATGTTCCTGATGTAATTTTAAAAGTAGCACCACCTCTAATTTTTTTTTTTTTTTGAGACGAAGTCTTGTTCTGTCGCCCAGGCTAGAGTGTGGTGGCGTGATCTCAGCTCACTGCAACCTCCGCCTCCTAAGTTCAAGCGATTCTCCTGCCTCAGTCTCCTGAGTAGCTGGGATCACAGACAAGTGCCACCACATTCAGCTAATTTTTGTATATTTGGTATTGATGGGGTTTCACCCTGTTGGCCAGGCTGGTCTCAAACTCCTGACTCGTGATTCATCTACCTCGGCCTCCCAAAGTGCTGGGCTTGTAGGCGTGAGCCATCTCACCTTGCCCTAAATATATATTTTTTTATAACATAAGACCAGAAGTGTAGTATATATCCTAAATGAGTATATATATTTTTCCCCTTTGTTGATAAAATTTTTAGGTGACATTCAGGGGGATGGAAACAGTAAATGCCTTTAGATAGTAAGTAAATCGACTCTGAACAATGAATAGAGCAGCCATTTAAACATTCTAGAGGAGCAAGCCGATTGTGTTGTAATATATCAAACATTTCAGTATTTTAATGTATTTATACCTTTTAAATTAACTGAAAATGCACAGCTAGCCAGTTGTCTTGTATTATGTACCCTCAGCTTTAACCAGCCACTGAAACAATTTCTGATGATTTAATGTTCTTGGAACTTCATCCTACAAGAAGGTTTGTCTTGGTAACGGTTTCCACGTGAAACCAAACTACTCTTTAAATGTTTAGTCTCTTCTGAGTGCAGTATTATAGATCAGCGTATAATTTAAGAAGAAATAGGAATATATGCAAACCAGGAATGCTCTCACACCTGAACATCATCAGTAGTGCTATAAAGGTTTCACATTTCACAGTATTAATTCATTCTGTGCTGCATTAGCAGGTGAATAACAAGATGAAACTAATTTTAATGGCCACAGAGGGAAATTCTAAACTAGCTTAAATGTTTCTTATGAGACTTTTAAAATCATTCTATTAATATTGAGAGCAAAGGGGTTACCACGAACACATATACATACATACATATGTATGTGTATACTATGTATTTATTTAGACATTTGTAAACTAAAATGTAAATGATACCTTGTTATAAAGAGAATAGGATCAATGGCAGTGTTGAAATAAGCTCCCAGAAGTTCATTACAGTGAACTTTGTAGGAGTTCATTTGTAATGAAGATTGACTTTTATGTAGTTATTGGCTACTGTTTCTTAAACACTTTGGATTTCTTGGTAAAATATTCACTCACTCATTAGTACTGAGGTACTAGTCTTCATTAAAATTGTTCATCTTTTAGGCATTCTTCCTTAAGTCCATACCTCTCAGCATTTATATATTTAAGATAAAGGTTAAGTCATGCAGGGGCTTGACATTTTTCAGTGTATATTGGATTGATCTCCCTAGAATTTAAATAAATCTGCTACAAGCAAAACCTTGCCTTTGCTTTTTATACCTTCTCTATGTCTCAGTGAAGTAAACAGGAAAGTAATAAAGGTGTTTTCCTCAAAACACTAATATGGAGTGTAACAGAAAGAGCGTAGGTAGGTAAGCCCAGCGCTTGGAATTTGTGACATTGTCTGGGTTCTTGTGTTGTTACTATAAGGGCTAAATGACACCTGTGGGAACCAGCCAAGTGGTGGAGTCATATGGAGCCATAGCAGCAGAAGCAGTGATGTTTTATAGACCCATTCTTATATTTTGGGGACTACTTGTGATGCTGTTTTGTTAAGAAATAGGAGTTATTTTGAGGACTCAAATTAGATTTTTTTTCCCTTGTCTTTTTGTCTGTTTTTGTTGCTATCATTTTTCAGCAGAGCTGTGACTGTTAGCTGTGCATGATGATGTCAGTGTCAAGCACAGGCCCCAGCTGTGCATGATGATGTCAGTGTCAAGCACAGGCCCCACCCCTTCTCGCTAGTGCCACCACTCTGGGCAGGCCTACTCAGAGTAGGCCTCTTTCTATTGGCCTCAGGTCCAAAATACAGCCTCTTTCTCTGGGATCCATTTCTGTGGTCGACTTTCTTATGAACCTGTGAACTCATTGAGAACTGTTTAATTTTTAGCCTGGCCCTGATTTGCAGATTTGTCAATTATAATTTAAGAAAACGTTTTCTAAGTTTTTAGGTATAGATTGATAAAGATGAGATTCTCATAATTAATTGCTTTCACTGCCTTTTACAGGGATGTATATCTATTTGTGTGTAGTGTGGGCTGTCAAGTACAGGGGACGTCTGATGTCATCTGCCAACCCTCACTGGTAGTCTTGCTAATGTGGAGCATGCCAGTCCATGTTGTGTCTAGGGCCTTTGCCTTCTTTCCTTCTGTAGTCTGTCTTCCTTTAGATATTTGCATGGTGCTCACATTCTGACCTCCTTCAATCTTTCATCTTCTTCAAATGTTGTTTCTTTAGAAATGTCGCCTTGACTACCCTGTAGAGCACCTCTGACCATCTGAAAATAGCTCCGCTCTCATTCTCTGTCCATTTTTTATGTCTTATTTATTTATTTGAGATGGGATCCCACTCTGTCACCCAGCCTGGAATACAGTAGCATGACGAAGGCTCACTGTAGCCTCAGCTGTCTGGGCTCAAGTAATTTTCCTACCTCAGCCTCCTGAGTATCTGGGGCCACAGGTGTGTGCCACCATGCTTGGCTAATTTTTAAAATTATTTGTAGAGATGAGATCTTGCTCTGTTGCCCAGGCTGGTCTGAACTTCTGTGTTCAAGCAACCCTCCTGCCTGGGCCTCCCAGAGTGCTGGGATTACAGACAAGAGCCACC